TCGGCGTTGCCCGAATTGTCACGAAGTGTTAAGGGGTTGTAATCAGGGGGATGAGAGTCGAGATTTCATGATATTCTATATTTTCCGTGGGGTCTAGAGAGTAACTTATGCAAAATTTCATCCAGATCGGTTGAAGGGTTTAGGAATTAATAGGGAACATGCAGACATTTTCTCTCTCTCTCTCTCTTTATATATATATTTTACATATACATATATGTAGGTAATGTAATATCAGACGTAATACCTGTTGATTGAATTATTGAGAGATCATAAAAGCAATTGCTCAGAAATCTGATTTGGCATAAAATTCATATTTTTCAAGATTCAACGGTCGTTTGAATTCGTGCGTAACATAATTATATGCAAATCCAATCTTAATCTTTCCAAAGCTATTACAATTCTATCACTAAGTTATCTTTTGTCATCAATCTTTTTTAAATACGTTAACGTTTGTCTGCAGCTCGTACGCATCTGGTAGTCTATCTGATATAAAATATCTAGATTTAATATGATAATGAATGTAGCGGCTTGGCTTTATCTACTGCGTACTGCAGCATTGATTAATTCATACCTTCTCACTCACGTTCGTATCTCTCGTCTTTTTTGCCTTTATCAATTCAATGCTATCCATACGAGTTTTTGCATCCTTACAATCAAGAATATACTTACATTGATTTTTTCATATACATATAACTATATCGTACAAAATAACACAAATTAATATTAAAAATTTCAAATGCTCATTGTTTCTTAATTGTTATTTATAAGATTGAGTCAAATATCTTTCTTTTTTTTTAGGAAAAACATTTCGTCTCTTTCTTTAATGTAATTGTTATGATTCATATTAATTTCTTATTGGCACATTTATTATGAAAAGTTCAAAGGTTGTGATAGAGATTTTTACGAAAGTTTCGCCAAGGATAAGATTTCAAATTTAATGAAGGATCCGCGGAGTGGGAAGATCCGTGCACCACTTCTGAAACAGTTCGTATTACATTGCGTTACGAGGAAATCCACTGAGTACCATCTCGGTTAGTTGAGAAGTAATTGAGGTTCGTAGACGGAAGCGTCGAGGCAGCGCGGCGTCTTTTAACGAATCCGCGATATTTCCTTCGTATCACGTCCTTGGAAACAAGGTTCGCAATCTCATGTCCGAGCGGGGAATTACGATTGTACGTGATTGTCCGTTGTCCTTCGTGCACTTCTTCGAGCATCGTCGGCGATGCAAGCGTACGCGCGCGCACGCGTGCTACGTGAAACGCTTCGATGCACGCGGTAAAAACATTTAATCGGAGTCGCGATAATGAGGGAACGTACGCGAAAGTCTGTAGAAAACTATGAGAAGGGAAACGGATGACCCTTCGCGACGCGCAGCTTTATCTTATGATTTTCACAAGCTGTCGATTTAAATATTTCCTAAATCTAACAATTGCGTGGAATACAGAGACCGCCTCGATATTGTTGATTTTTGAAATATCGATTTCGCATCGTCCGCAGAATTATCCGTAACGATAAAGTCGTCCGGTGGCTTCGAGGAATATCTTGCGTATGAAATATTTCGAGATATCATTGGGTTATCTAACACCGTCGTCATCTCTCTCTATCGCTGAATTTCAGTGCAACTTTAACGTCCCTCGTTTCGGACGATAGTCCCGGTGATTGTCCCCGTATGATTGTTGGTATTGCGAGTGTTATCGTTCTCGTTATCATTACCATCACGGGTGGTACAGCTTTAGGGTGTTGCTGCTGTTGCTGCACCGAGCATCATCACTCCGGCAGCAATGTAACGGAGGATCCTCGCGTTCTCAACGCCGTCACTCGTTCCACGCTCGTATCTCGACGAGCCAGGTTATCACGAGAAACGCTCCAGATGTTGCACGGCATTGTGTAAAAGAACCTCTCGGGCGCAATATCTTTAGCGCAATATATATG